TATTCGACAACTCATAGATTGTGCAGGAATCTGCTGGCCCGAAGACTGGTCTCAAAATCAAACTCAACATGGGAACGAAACTCAAATCCGGAACTGTAGATTCAACACCAGGAGATACGACTCCATTTGCGATGCCACGAGTAAAGCGAAATCAGAAACGACGTACCGTTGGTGCGTATGGGTCTTGTTACGAATTTGGTTTATCTGACATGTGCTATAGCAGTATCTGATGAAGACCAAGAAGAACAAGAAGAGGATACACCGGCTCAGCCAACGCGTAAAACTGCACGCCAGGCCGCCTTAGCAGGTGACGCTGGTCCTGTGGAGCATGTTTCTCTAGGTGAGCTTCCCATTTCCGCTGTCAATCCTTCAGAACTGACGCTAGTTTTAGAGGAGCCACCGAACCCACGAAAGCGCAAGTGGACAGAAGAAGAGATTGCGATGCGACGCGAGGAAGCCGCCAGAAAAAGAAAAGTAAAGGGAGCTCAAAGACAAGAAGATGAAAAGGTAGGAGGATTGAATGTAATTGAGCAAGCTCCAGCTGACATCGACTAGCAAATGATCATTAATCGTTTGATCAACAAAGGAACTGGGAAACGAGGAAGGTGGGCTTCTAAGGCTAAAGACCCGACCCCAGACCCAGAGGAAGACGGCGAAGAAGGGGGTGCCGCCACTGGTGCAGCAGGAGAGGGAACAGAGGCCGGTGAAGAAAACGAATCGAGCAGCGCGGCTGAAGAGGTGCCAACAGGGGCAGTCACTCCTGCACCCACACGAGGAGGTTGGAGAGGCAGAGGAAGGCGTGCCCGTGGTGCAAAGTTGCCGCCGCCGCCTGTTCGAATGCATATTCCAGTCATGCGATGGCTAAGCGGCATGCGGGACATTGTCATTCAGGAACCAGACGATCAGATTCAAGTCGACCCTACAGACATGAAACGGGGCGAAGATGCAGGGATTACCACTGCAACCGCGTCTGCCCCGGATCAACCCAAACCGGCTGCGGAGCGAGAGCCATTCCTCTCCTTTTCTATTCCACCGGAACTACTGGCAGTTACCGTCATCGAGCCTCCTCCGCCATTGCCATCGCCACGAAACGCCATCAGCTGTGCTGTCAAAGGCTGCTCTCTCACTCGCAAATATAAGCTGGCTGGAGGTCCAGATCCCGACATTGGTGCTTGTGGAATGGATCATTTAAAAAGGTTGCAAACCTCCATGGGCCTTGTTCAATGATAGCTTTTTGTATCTTAATAATGCCACATGATAAGGAAAAACCAAGATGCATTCATTGTACGAACATGATATCTATGGCACAAGAGGAGTTGTGGTGACATTTAGTTAGAGATGATTCGATATGGTTGGGAAGAGATGGGAGCAGTCTGTTGTACACGACAAAAACGCGAATGGCCTAAAGCCTGCAGTGATGCAGTCAGACATTCATTCGACGAGAGAAATTGAATCGCAGTCCGAGAATACCATGTGTGTGTGGGGGGATAAGAACGTGATCAGTGTGCTACACTGATGCAAGATATAAAACAGGTGGTGTTGTTTTTGGATGCGCCCGAAGACACTGATGGCGGCTGTTAACCGCGAGGTAGTGTGTCAGTTGCAAGTTGGCGGTCCGTCACGGGGCGGGAGAGGGATCCATTGGGGCTCATTTGTGAGCCCTCATGCGTCTCAGGTGATCCCTCTTCCAATCCCTCTCGCGCCTTTCCCTGATCGCGACCAATCGCGTTCTGGCGTCGCCGGACCGATAGTTATTGATGTGATAGCCACGCTGCTCGCTGCGTATCATGCATTGGCGGAGTGCAGATGCGAGTTCGGCCTGCGACCATTCCAAGCCGTTTTTATATTGCACTTTGGTGAAGAGATCATCCCACGTCGTGAGGCGGAATCCAGCCTTGGTTTCCTCGGCAAGGGTCTGTGCAGCTTGAGTCGGAGGCTGTCCAAACTGGCGATCGAGATGTGCCTGAGTGGAGTTGGGTACAACGCGAGACGAGCGAGGTGCCGTTTCGTAATGAGTAAAGACGGCCAAGATGGAGGCTTGAAGGGCGATCATGCGGTACGTCTCGCGCGAGTGCTGATACGACTTTGCGGCGCGATAGGCACATTCGCCAGTCTCGAAGTGCTGCAAGTCACTGTTCCCAGCAACGACCTCGACTGCACTTCGGGTCATCGCTTCTTGAAGCAGAGGACCGATGAAGTTTTCGCTCCACCGTATGATTGGGTCTGATGGTGCAGCTGAGCCGTGGCGGAGATCATAGCGATGCGTGGAGGACGAGGCAGAGCCAGGCGTAGGTGGTCCACGCTTGATGCGACGCTCCGATCCCTTCAATGGGAGGAGACCTTCGTCCTGGCAGGCAAACACAAGCGCGGCCACGATGACGAATTCGCCAAGGTCCGGTTCAAACTCCTTGGACCTAAAGTTTGGTGTGTCGACAAACTGTCGGACGCGTCCATCTATCGACTTGAGGAGGGCTGGATTGTCGCGGCAAAGCGAGATGAGGAGATGGAAGAGTTGCCAGTAGGCGGCAAGGAATTTCTCCGCGGCGTGAATGAGACTGATTGAATAAAGAGCTTCGACATCTTCTTGAGAGCTGTTCTGACTTCCAACGCCGCGTGTTGCCACCGGGGCTCTGTTGATAATGTCGTCGGTGACATGCATGTAATCGACAGTGACATCTCTCAAAAACTTGAAGATGACGTTGACCGAATCGATTTCGGCTGTAGTTGAACCCGTGGAGCCGGGGACCGGCGTGCTGCCACGGCTGTAGCTAGAAGCTGAACCATGGCGAGCCGTGGTAGCACGAGTAGATCGAGCAGCTGAACTCTCGACACCGTGGCGAGTGGGAGGATACACACGGTCAGGCTCGGTGAGAGAGATCTCGGCGCTCAGAGTTTTCAGGCAATCAAACAGGCGTGGCTTGATTTGCTTGAAATGATCGTAGTTGAGGGCGAGTGGAAGGAAGAATGAAAAGTCGGCTTTTCTAATGCTGCGTCTAACTCCACAGTTGAGGAACGCGGCCTCACTAAGGAAACCGTCGATGATGGTGTCACACGAGAGTCGGTTTGTGCGCCTGTCCAGAGCCACGCCCATGCCCATGATCTTTGTGGGGTCGGGGTCGACCTTCTGGTTCGGCGGATCTTCGTAATGGGTGGCCAGATAGAAGCACCGGACCTGGCGCTTGCGAAGGAAATTGGTGCGCCGGAGAAAGTGCGCAATTGGCGAATAGGCTACGCCCAAAGCGTGCAATGATTCGTCAGGCATATGCTCACAGAGTACATGGAGAAGATCCATCTTGAGCCTGGCAAGCTGGTTGGTGGCTGCGGGTGTCATGTACGCAGGAGAGTCCTTCTCCCCAGCTGGCGTGCCACGGTCCGAACTAACGGCATCTAAAACGGGCCAGCGAGGAATGTTTGCAGACTTGATGTCGCACTCATTACACTCAAATGTTTGGACCTTGGCACGGGCCTTAAGCCAAGCTGGGTTGAGGGATTCAAACTTGAGGATACGTTTGACGGGCTTTGAGGCACGCGAAGAAGCAGCAGCTCGGGTTTGCTCTTGAGGTTCAGGCTCTTGTGTGCCACGAGAAGCAGAAGAAGAATCACGCATCATACTTTTCTTGGTGATTTGCTTGACGTCGCTGCCATCATCACTCTGATATGTAACTATCACAACCTCCTCCGACGTGTCCTCATTCCATAATTTTTCTAAATAGTTTTCTGGTTCAGTGTAAGGGTATGCCGCATTGCGAGAGGTGATGGAAGTGGGTTCGCGGAAGGGGAATAGGAACTGGGCCTCGTGAACGTAGTGGACGATAATGGCTTGGCCGAGATTGGTACGGCCATGGGAGAAATTGTGAGAGATCGATTTGCTAGAAAAGAGCGAGAGGAGCTGCTTAAAGATGCCACGCAATGTGTAGGCTGGTGTATAGCTGGAAAGAATAACGTTGCGTCAAGGATTTTATCACACGCGTTCTTTTCCGATCTATGACTCACCCGACATTGGCAAAGCCAGAGTAGCCGCCCGACGTCTCCCGCCAGAGATCACAACAAACACGGCCGCCAGTGAGAATGTTTGGGTGCTTTAGGTTGGGAATGCTACACCAGACGCGTGGTGGTGACGCAGGCTGTTCAAATTCAAGGTGTGGCAAATCGTCAGTGACGGCGGCGAGGAAAATATTTGAGGAATCGAAAGAGAAAGTACACTGAGATGCAACCCGTGATAAAAAGAGACTCAAAAGTGGTATATATGCTTATGGTATAGAGAGGCGAGGTGTGGCAAAAAGCGACACGTACCCAATTCGTCGGTAAATCGATACTGAAATGAATCGTCAAACCCTGCCATGGACCAGACTGAGGAGTGAGATGAAGGCAAAGACGGCGCATGTCGTGACCAGCGGCATGGACGCGGATGCCAGGGTCGACATTTAGTTCGAGTTCACGCAAATCACGACGAAGACGATCACGAAAAAGTTGAGAAGTATCCATATTTCTTGAAAGCAAGACTGTGCAAGACAAGGCGAAAAGGATGGGCAAGAAATCGTCAAGCGACGTGAATTTGTGATTTTTCAGAGGGCGGGGGCGGGGTCGAGGTTGAAAGGGCGACCCGCCACCTGCCGCAATGTCGATGTTGGGGCCTTGCATCGCCCGCTCGACTCACAAATTTTTTCAGTTTGGGACCCCAAATAGAGTGCCTCGAGGCAGGGCACTTGTTACACGGGCAAGTGCCGCGACTTCTGTTCCTAGGACCCCTGACACCCTGTTGGGGGGTGCATATATACGACCCAAAAAATGCCTAAAAAATGCTTCTAAAATTCGTAAATGTATGAATAGAGGTAATAATAGGCTCTAAGGATCTTGAAGATCGGTCACCAGAGATGTTGAGCAAAAAGACCCATCTCTGATCGAACCACGACCCTGGCTCACACCAAAACCTCACCAAACCCTTCTCGTACCAAACCTTTTTAGGGAACTGAGAAAACCACTTAAAATCGATGCAAAACTGACTCAACCCGGGTTCGAACCGGAGACCTCCCGTGTGTGAGACGGACGTGATAACCAACTACACCATCAAGTCGAGCGTAACACCATCGAATCTACCACATATTGAAGATGGATACGTCACTACAACAGACATAGACGGCTTGGATTGTGTAGGAGTATTGGGCCACTACCTCGTCCACGATTACTTCACCGCCTGGCGCCCGATCTCTTTCGAGAAACCGGCACTAATAAATAATCACCACCACTCGGCTCCTTTGAATCCACGTATTTGGGACCTTGCGCGCTCTCGCTTGTAAGACCAAAACCGCGTTCCATTGACGCTGGCCGAATATAAGTACTTGCTTCTAGCAGCTCTTATCACGAGTCATTTCACTCGTGACATATTTTGCACCGTGTTCTGGCGCGATTTGCTTGCGGTGGTCTATCGTAGCATTCATTCCTCCATTTATTACGACACGTGAAAGCATGTCGAGCAGGGTGTATCATTGTCTAGAACCGTGTCAAAAATACTTTTTTTTTACCCATTGAAGCCTTCCAAATCATCGTGAGCAAAGTCAGCAATGCTCAGAGAGATGGAACCGGCACACAATAATGTATCCAGTCAAAACGTACTCGATCGAAACATGGACGAGCATGTGCTGGGACATTCAAGTCCGTGGTGAAGGTGCTGATACGTCTCATTCAATCGACGGCCAGGGCGAACGTGTTGAATACACCGAGTACATTAACTCGGCACTTGCATCGGACCCTGAGGTTAGTGCAAGGCTACCGATACCTACCGACACGATGCAAATATTCGACGAGTGTCGTGATGTCATTATAATCTGCGAGCTTGTCGAGCATTTCTACCCTGGAACGATAGATACTGTCATGGGTGTCAGGAGGCGCCGTGGCACCTTGCCCAGTGGCAAAGATCCACTGAACAAGTTCCAGATGGCGGAAAACAACAACGTTGCCACCCTTTGATCAAGACTGCATAGGACTTTTCAGAGTCGACGGTGTAGCGTCCGTTCTCGTCACGTTGCTCAATTGATCTTAATAAGCTTTAAATGCGTTTTTCTTACAAATGGGACCGAAATTGATTGGGAATTGGACGTAAGAGCAGGAAGTTTGGCTATCCGTGGACGCCATGATCCACAAGTGAGTGACTTTCAAAAAAGATAGGACAGGTACGTTGTGGTGCTAACAATGCAGTACAGAATTAGGCGTTCAGAGGCACTGGGATTAAGTAACGTTAGGACCTTGTCAGCATCTGTAAGGTGGGACATACCTGCGAGTACCAATCGTTCGAGTACTTGCACTAGAAACAAAGATAATCAGGAACATGCGCGAAATAAACCAAGATGCCAGCTTACCGTGTATGGAGAGGCGCAGGTAGTTGGTCCGGTATATCCAATACCTAAAGGCACCGTCACTAAATGCTGCAATTTCTATCTGAGTTGCTTACCACCGCATTGTGCCCAGTGAGCAGCAGTGCCACCAGTTGTGGGAGAGCTGGTGGTGGAAACCGGGGTGACAGGAGTTGAGGAAGTCGACGCGGGGCGAGTTGTGGATGACGTGCTGACACCTGGTGTAGTGCTGACAGGCGTGGTGGCGCTGCAGCCGGAAACTCCTCCGCTGGTGATACCGAACCAGGCAAGTTCGATGGACTCGTGGATTGGTACGGTATGACCTACACCAGCAGCGGAGTACCCGATGAGAGAGCAGGCGTATTGAGACTTGGTATAGCCAGATTGAGGATCATTCGAAGCGGTGGCAGTCTGGCTGACTCCGAGGACGTTGCTCCATTGCTTGAGTGCCTCGCCATAGTTGTTATAGGAGAGGGTGGTATCACTAGTGTATAACGTGGATGAGCAAGGGTTTCTCATAACGAAACAACTGCGTACACGGTACCGTGCCAAAGCATCATTTTGGGGCGTGCGCCAGTATATCCAGGGTATGCAGCCCGAACAAGGTCACCCTACATTTGATGTGAGTTCTACGAGGCTTCCATATGTTAGAGACACACACCCATTGAGCGGCAGTCTTGGAGATTTGGCCATTGGCACAAGCCGAGTTCCAGTCACTCGTTCCGGCAAAGCAGGCGAAAGGAACACCATTATAAGCTGATGCAGCCTGGAACAAATCAGCTAATCGATGTGTTAGAGCTACTTGTGATCGCATAGTCGGCTCAACGCACGATAGGAGCCGGCAAGAACTTGGGTCATCATGGCACCGGAAGACGTTCCCGTGACAAATACGCGGCTAGCGCTAACGCCATAGTTGGCAATGGCATACTTGATCATAGAGGCGATACCCTGAGAGTCTCCTCCACCGTCATGCTTCAATGTCGCGGCAGAAGCGACATCGAAGCACTTTCCTGATCGAGGAGAGTCGGGGTAAACGACAATAAAGCCGTAGGTATCCGCCTAGAGGTTCGTCAATGCCATTTTTCTGGTTTGGGGGAGAGCGACAGTACCAAATTGGCATACTGGCTCCCTGCAGGAATGAATTAGATACACCGGTTATTTTACCGAGGAATGATGAACGTACCAGTGAAGTAGGCCTGGGCACTGCCTGTGCAATAATGAATGGCAACGATGAGGGGAGTTGGGTTTGCGAGTTTTGTGGGCTTGTACACATAGAACCCTACGTTGTTGGGGTTGGCTCCAATGTTAGCAGTGACTTGCTGGAGCTGGTTAGCGGCACCGAGCACACTGCTCGCACCGAGAAGGGCAGTTGCAACGAAGGAGAGGAACCCGAGCATGGTTTTGCCTTGTGGGGGAGACGTGAATAGAACTTGCCGGGGTATGGGGTATTGCCTTTAATACCTTTTTTCCAAGGACGATAAAATATGGCTGAGAAGCGCAGGCACAAGTCACAAGAACACGTTTGTCCGGGAATACAACGCTCGTCCTCGGAGAGAAGTTTGGGGGATGCATGTGATTTCCACAATTTGACACCGTCTAAAACTTGCATTAGAAGGAGGTTTAGAAGCTCGCGAAGATACCACGAGTCTCCTGCGTGGGGTTTAGTGCTGGCGATGCTCTGGATATCACGAGCCTCCAATTTTCCGACAGCGCTATCTTGGACCACTTGAAGTGCAACCCGAACATCCAAGTGGTTCGAACAGTTCTCGCGTGGGGCACCAGCCCACGGGCCGTGGCTTGCGGTGGGGCCACTCATCCACGGAATGTGAGGGTCATTGATGTATATCTATTTCTGGATCAATAATATCAAACTGCTGTAGTAACTGGGGGCTTCGTCGGTTGCTCCGTAATTTGGCCTATGGTCCCAAAGGATCCGTGACAGGGCCTCGGTTCTATTGTTGACCTGCGTAACTGTGGGTGAAGGGGAACGTGAAATACTACCCCGTCGATCGACTCGAATTTGAGTTGGGGTCAGCCGCACACGAACGGCAGCGGGCGAGGACCGGTTGTCTTGGTAGGGGTTACTGGAACAGACTAGTATGATGCCGCCCCATAGAGTGATTGACATAATCACGGTGAGATGACTGATCGAGCAAAGCATTAGTGAAGCGCAGCACAGCTGCATGGCATTAAGCATAGCGACCTCCCACTGTAGCTGGGGAATATGTCGGGAGCCGTCGCACGCATGCGGCAAAAAGGCGGGAATCGGCTGAGTACAAAATTACTAGGCATCATTGTTTGTACCTTGCGATCTCCTGACGCATACTCTGAGAAAACCGTTGAATGTAGAAGAGTGTAAGGTTCATTGGCGAGCCATTGCCGTTCGGCATTCCAGTCGCCGGCGTTTGAATGTATTGAATGCCTGGCCTAACATGTTCAAACTGCAAGCCCTTGCTCACCTGATTCGTAAATACAAGGTGACAGGTGGGACGGGGATTTTGTCAACAAGCAACAAGCAACAGGGGCCAGCGGGGATACATGAGATCCACAGAAGGAAAATACTTTTATATATAATCATAAGCCTCCTTATTAGGACTCCGATACGCTGAGGTTGCACGCTCGTGCATGACAGGAATGGAGCTTGAAAGATCCACGCAACGTCGCCTCGCTTCTCACCAACGATCTGTGCCCCTAATTGAACTATAAAATCGGTCGCTGAAACTCTAAACAGTCCAATCTCATCTTAATCCTTCCCCTTGCTCTCTGCAGGTCGAACGATTTTCGTTTTAGACTCACTCATACGAACCACTCATCTCCCTAATTGACCATGAAATACAACGCTATCATCGTCCCAGTTATGTTTTCGGCCCTCATCGCTGCTGCAGCCACCGAGCACAAGTCCGACCAGGGCACCCTATCGGCCACAACCGTCTCAGTCCAAAGGGCCTCTCTCCAGCCGGAACTCGCAAGATCTAACACGTGAGGGCTCTCGTCACCCCCCAGTTTTTGGCGAGCAAGGTGCCGTTTCCCCCACGCCAGTGCGCAACGCCGCCGGCAAGGCTCCCAAGCCTGGCAATGCCCTCTTCGAAGCAAAAGACGAAGCCGAGAACGTTCGCGCAGCAAATTCTCTCGCCGATCCTCATACTATGGGTATGGTGTCAGATGCTCAGCCTGGCGAGGTTCCATACCAAGCCAAGGATCAAGCAGACGCCGCCCGTCTGGACGGTGGTCGACCTTCCCGATCGCAAGCCATCCGCAAGACGGAGGGAGTCCACCCAGCTGACATCGCGGTCGAAGCACCTCGACCAGCTGGTGAGCAACGCCTCCCCCCTCAGCCTCCTCGTCTCCGTCGTCTCTCCCGTAGCCATCCCGCTCGCACTGAAATGTCTGAAAAGTAAGTCCTTGCTGTCTCTCTACTCGAATCGTACTTAGCCTTTCTCGCAGCTGTGACATCGTATGCATCGAAACAGCTTGGCCTACTCTGGCCTCGTCGCGGAGCAACGTGACGAGAACGGACGCTACACCGTCGACTCTGAAAAGTCCTATGCAGTCTTGATCAAAGGGTGGCAAGGTTGTTGTTTTCCGCCATCTGGAACTTGTTCAGTGGATCTTTGCCACTGGGCAAGGTGCCACGGCGCCTCCTGACACCCATGACAGTATCTATCGTTCCAGGGTAGAAATGCTCGACAAGCTCGCAGATTATAATGACATCACGACACTCGTC